AAAAAAAAAAAAAAAAAAAAAAGTCTCATATGTTCAGAGGTGGTACTTTTGGAAGGTGATTGGGTCATGAGAGTGCTGTCTACCCTCATCAGTGGGTTAATACATATAGCTCAATGTATTTTTAGGAGGTGGAACCTGGCAGAAGGAGATGGGTCACTTGGGGTGATGACCTGCGAGGGTGTATTCTTGTCCCCAGATCTCCCTTCTGTCTCTGCTTTCTGGCTGCCAAGACCTGAGCAGCTTCTTTGCCTAGGCCTTTCCACTATCTGTTTCTGATGTTGAGCCAGCCTACCATGGACTGAACCCTCTGAAACTGCGAGCCAAGTAAATCTCTCCTTCTGTAAGTTGTAGGTGTTGGGTATTCTGTCTCAGCAAAAGGAAAGTGACTAATACAGAGACTTTGTCTCAAAAAATAAATGAACAATATCAACAGAACTAATAGGACACAAAAGTGGTAAATTTGGGCATTTACTGAAATACTTTGGTGCATGAATATTTATTTTATTTTATTTTATTTTTTGGTACTAGGGATTGAAGTCGGGTCCTTGTGCTTGCAAGGCAGGCCACCGAACCACTGAGCTAAATCCCAGCCTGGTGCATGAATGTTTATAACTTTTTTGTATTTTTTATGTATGAAGTTATCCTGTTTTTTAAATAAAAGTTTCAAGTCTCCGGACAAATGTCTCCTCCACTCAAGGCTGACCTCAAGGGTGATTACATTAATTGCTGTTTCTCTGAGATCCTATGAGGATAAAACCAGTAAGAGAGCCTGTTTCACCGGGCAGTGTTTCTCATTGTTCTTCATTCCTCTTTCTATAATTTCCAAATTTACTGCAGTGCCTTGAATGCAATAGTTATTCCTTCTGATACTGTTATTATAAATTCTAAATGGGGGAGGGAAGGAAGCCCCACCCACTCAATTTGTCTTTATTTGATAAAGAAGGCAAAACAAAAAACAAAAAACAAAAACAAAAAACAAAACAAAACAAAAAAAACCCTATACATTATAGGAATCGGAGAAAGCTTAAGGATTCCTCAGTGTGTTTTAACAAAGCAGTTCCTTTGCCCCTAGGGATGCAGTGTGGTTTGTGGAGTAGAGATTCTGTCATTGTTGTTGGTTTCTCCAACTCTGCACTATTTAGAATGCTTCTGGTGTTGAGTGACGACAGATCCTGAACTTTTCTGGCTTCAGCAACAACTGTGGTTGTTGTTCTTCCAACTGGGAGCAGGGTGCAGGGGCAGCGCTGACCAATTTCCAACTCAGTTCCATTTTCCTAGACTCTGCTGGCGTCATCTGCACGCTGATAGCGACCAGTGGGCGGGGAGGGGGCTCCTACCCTGTGGTGCAGGCGTCTAGGGGAGGAGACAGCTGCGGTCCTTATCTCCTTTCTCCTTGGCCTAAGAAGACACCCTGTATGCCCTGGGAAACCTCCCCTCCTGCCCAGGGCAGTGGGGCGGGTTCCCACAGACCAGCCTGACCCCCCCGCCAGGCCCAGCTCAGTGTCCCTGGAGGAACTGCCAGTGCCTGGTGGAGGGGAGTTTCCTGAACCAGGTGGGTGTGGCAGGTTAAGGAAAACTGACTGTAAAACCCACCAACCACTCAGGATACAGCTTTGATATGGAGATGGTCCCAGAGGCCTTATATTCTGGCTGATTTGCACTTAAGAAAATAATAGAACCTTTTTTTTCCTGCAGTTTCTGTCCACAGTGATCTGTGCTAAAAGGCCAAGGGCAGAGCCAGGTGAGGGGAGGAAATGACCAAAAAAAACCTCCTGTGCCTACAATAGCTATTTGGTGAAATCCAAAAAGGCAGCCAGGTGTGGTGGCACGTGCCTGTGATCTCTGCATTCTGGGAGGCTGATGCAGGAGGATCCCAAGCTCAAGTCCAGCCTGGGCAACTTAGCAAGACCTTGTCTTGACAATAACAAGACAAAAAGGTCACAGGATGTGGCTCGATTCAAAGGCCCTGGGTTCAATCTCCAATACCTGGGCATGGAGGATCCTGGGCCTAAGTCACAGAAGGGATCTATAGGCTGTGGAGAGATGACCCAGGCCCAGTTCTGATTTCAGGTAGAAGTCAAGCCAGAGAGCCCTGACAGGGGACAGGAAGGCAGAGTAACTACCTGGTGGCAGCCCCTCCATGGCCCGGGTAAAGTCAGTTCTGCCAAAAATCCGACCGGAGGCCTGAATGACTCTGCCTCTGGAGAAGCTGAGGCATGACCCAGATACAGTAGTCTGTACCCAGTCAGTGTTTAAGAAGCTCAAGGATTAAGATACATTTGGGCAGCAGGAAACTGGCCAGGAGGGCAGACCAGAGGAGCAGTGCTTTCCTGTATTAGGGCCCAGAGGAAACAGTGAGATGCCAGGATTTCAAAGCAACAAGATGTTCAAAGAAGTTGGCTGTGGTGATGGCACATGTTTTGAAATCTAGCATTCTGGGTGGCTGAGGTGGGGGGGGTGGTGGCAAATGCAAGCTCAGTCTGGGCAATTTGGTGACAGACCTTACCTCAAAAATACAAAAATAAAGGGATAAGGATATAGCTCAATGTGAAAACCTTGGGTTCAATCCTCAGCTTGAAAAATAAACATTGAAAGATGGAGGACCATCTTATTTAGGTCTGTGTCCTGCTATTGAATATCCCACTGTAACGTATTTCCTGGATTTGTGAGAGCAATGCTAATTTAAGCCCCAGTGTAATTTCAGTAAATGCAGCCCCTTTTAAATTAAAGTATCTATGAAATTCAAAATGATCTTGGAATAAAAATCCATAAACAGCAAACAGTTGACGGCCAGAAAAAACAGTCCAGCCTGTTATTCATTGTAATCACCACCTCTTACTTTTCCGAATTGTGTCTCTAACATCTTTGGAATAGCTTGAGATATTTATGGAACTAGCCTGGTAGAGATTTAGTGGTGATATATATTACTGTGAGCTCTGGGAGAAAAAAAATTGGGACACAGAAAAAAATTTTTTCTATTCTCCTCTCTGAAAATGTTTAGGAGCACATATGAGGAACTATTAATAGTGATTACTTTGGACCAATGGGACTTGGGGTTGGGCTGACCAGGAAAGGCAATTTACTTTCACTGCCATCCTGTGGGGTAGGCATTTTAAAAATAAATCGTAAGCTTATATGACTGTCATCATTTTTACACATTAAGTAAAGTAAAATTAAAGGAAAAGAACTTATTAGATGTATCCTTGGTTGATCAAGTTGGGACCTGTTCTATCAATTCCTTCTTCTGCTGTGTTCTGTGCTCTCCTCCTCTCTGGGAAGGACTCAGTTTGAGTCATTCTTGGCAACCTCTCCCCGTAGTGCAGGAATTTGGGGGACAGAGTTTCATGCTAATAAACGGCAGGTATCCAGCACTGCACGTTGTGTATGAACACTTCTACTAAATACCATCATGAAGTCTCCATGAGCCCTTTTCTCATAAACACCCTAAGAAATAGCCAGAGATCTGGCACGGTTCATTAGGAAATGTAACAGACTTGTGACTAAACACGAGTGACAGATTTTGATTCGAGTTAGCTCAGTAGTGCAGAAAAATCAACCTTGACTCCATCCGAGGGGGTGGGGCACAAAAGAAGTTCCTGCTCCGGGCAAGATTTTGAGGCAGGGATGACTCCTCAGTGAATTAGAGAGTACTTGCAACAGTTCCAGTGGACAAGCATTATTGTAAAAATGATCCCCAAGAATTTAAATGCTGTATTTTATAGGAACACAGATCAAACAAGGATGCTCAGTGGATCTTGTTTGCTTTCCACACTTTTCAAAACATCTGGACTGACCTGAGATGTGTAGCAACTTTTTCATCTTGGAAATATTCATTCCTCTTAGATTCACAAGACTAGAAACCAGGCAAAGAAACGTATGATGGCATGTAAAAAACCCAAGCAATGTATTTGTTGTAATCACTGCTTGCTCTTTTGATTGTAGCATTTTGGTAACAGTAAAGCAAATTCCCTTATCTGTTTTCAGCCTGACCTTTAGCACTGAAATCTACTTAAGAGATATGCTCAAGGCCAGCGGAATTCCACAGAGTTGGGTATAGGACAGCCAAGCAGGAAGCTTTTAGTAGCCAAGTTCTTTTCAAACCTGCACAAACAAAACTTGGGGTTTCCTCTCTGTTCTCCCCACTTCCACTCCTTATTCTATCTTTCCTCCTACCTCATATCCTTTCTTCCTTTCATCTTGGAAAAGTATGAGTGGTGGTTCTGGTTAGCGTAGAGGCAGCTACTGAATCCTTTCGATATTGTTGTTTGCATCAGAAGTTTTTCACTGAAGGATTTGACTTTAAAGATCGGCCATGCCTATACAAACTTTTACTTGAAGACTGGAGAAATGCAAAATAAGCTTGTGATTAATGACAGGGCTCTAAAGATTAAGACAAGTATGATGGTTAGTTTCTTCTTATGCATTTATTGGTTGTTTTTCTTTAAGTCTCTAGAACATTATTTATTTGACCTGGAGCCTTTTTTCATTTGTTCGTTTTTTTTGCAAGACAGGTGCTAGAACCACTGAGCTAAATCCCTGGCCCTGGCCTGGAGTCTTATTAAACACAATCTAATCTTTAGATTCCACACAACCTAAATCTTGAAATAACTAGCAAAGGTGACTGTTTCTCTGTCTGAGTGTTATTACTTGCTCATCTTAGGACTAAGAACCAATAAGGGTTTTATTTGAAGGGCTGGGCACGTAGCTCAGTGATAGGGCACTTGCTTAATATGTATGAGGCTATGGATATGCTCCCCAGCACCAGAAAAGGAAAAAAAAATTACATGGAATAATATATGTTCCTTGGAGCCATTGAGTTAGCCATGCGGTATGCGTTGTTGGGATTTGTCAGGTAAGCAACAGCAGGGGGGAAAAAGCTTAGGAAAAGACCTCAATTTAAGTTTTGCAAGCTCATCAGCATTGACATTTTAGGCTGCAAAATTCTTTACATGTGTGTGTGTGTGTGTGTGTGTGTGTGTGTGTGTGTGTGTACATGAGGGTAGGGACTGGGGAGGGGGATCCTGGACAGTGAGGCATGTTTAGCAGCATTCTTAGCTTCTACTCCTCAGGGCCAGTGGGAATCTGTTCCCTTGAGTTATGATGACACCCAAAAGTGTCTTTAGATATTGCTCAGTGTTCCCAACGGGACAAAAATCATTCCTTACTAACCTAAATTCCACACTGGTCACGATCACGAATCCCTAAATTCTTATGACCAGTATCTCCCTGAGAGTTATTTCAGAAACTTCCAAATATTAAGACAAAAAAAAAGCAAAAACAAACAAACAAACCAACAAACAACGGTGGCAGGGTAAGCCTTTACACAGCCCTGACGTTTCCTTGGCCATTTACCTAAGAGAGCATGTTATGGCCTCATTCCTGTGATGGACTTCAATGATCTAATACATCTCCCCGTCTCAGTATTCCAGCTCATGACGGCACAATCATTTCACTGATGCTGAAAACCTGCTGGAACAGCAATGGAACAAATTCTCCCGAAGGAAGCTTCACTCATAGCCTGGGCCAGACATAACACTGCAGTGAATGTTTTTTTTTTTTTACGTATAACATAGAAAATTCCAACGATTCAAGGCAGAGCACAGTGTTAGTCTTTTTCTATTATTATTATATCCAAGTCTGGTACACAAATCACATATAGACTGAGCTAAGAATAATTACAGAGGAAGAAATAAAATATGTCATGGTGGCTTAAAATCATAGCCAAATCTACATATTCAAGTCAACAATGAAATACCTTACTTATTTCCTATTTGAGAAACATACTATGATTCCTAGATTCAAATAAAGTATAAAATATAGAAACTTAGACTTGGGTATAAAACTATTCCTGTCCCTCTTCCCTTTTCCTTTATTTATTTATTTATGGTACGGGGATCAAACTTGGGACCTTGCACTCTCAAGGCAGACAGCAAAACCACTGAGTTACATCCCCAGACCTCCTTTGTCTTTTTGAAGAACAGTAGTCATACATATAAGGAAAGTACATGCATTGCATACTGTTAATGTTCACTTGAACATATGAAATTCAGCAGCTGCCTTAGCAAGCACTATAAAGAAGGGAGTGTGAATTTTACTAGCTTCTCTGTAACGTGAATGATTTTTTAGGTCGTACCAACCAAGCACAGGTCTCCCACCCACCCCCATCCTGGGAAATGAATCCAGGGCTTACTCACGGAGCCCTTTGAATTTTCAACACAGGGTCTCACTAAGTCATTCAGTTGCAGAGGCTGGACTCCATCTTGTGAGCCTCCTGCCCCAGCCTCCCAGGGTGCTGGGATTACAGATGTGTGCCCCCACACCCATCTCATGAGGACAGGTCTTTAGTTGCAAAGGCTAAACAGTAGTTCACGGACTTCTTCTAGGTAGTGAGATTAGCCGTGTGGCTTTTGTGTGTGTGTGTGTGTGTGTGTGTGCTGGGGATTGAACTTGGGTCCTTGTGCTTGCTAGGTAGGTGGTAGAACCACTGAGCTAACTCCACAGCCCCCGTGTGGCTTTTTCACTCAGAGAGCTGCAAGTGGGTCAGGTCAATAACTGGGTAAGAATTTCACCTTACTGAAAGATTTCACTAATACATTCTAAACTCCATTAACAGAAATTAATGTTAGAAGTTAAAAACTAAGAATCACCTAACCTTCAAGAACCCCATGCATAAACAAAGCGAATTCTCCTTCCTGTGTCTTGTTTCCCTATTTCCCACCATCAACCTCAACCCAACTTGTTTTCTTCTGCCAGAGAATGCTCCTTCCTGCGGGGCCACTGCCCTCTAAACCTGTCATAATGGCCCCCTTCTCCACGGAGCCTCCTGTTCTTATCCTTCTAAACCAGCACAGCCCGGTTTCCTGGAAAATGCCCTTGAGCAGTATCTCACAATGTCTTGTAAACGCTTCAGGTTCTCTCTTAAGATCTCCTGCTTTCCCTTTCCTATCGCAGAAAACCCCTCTGGGGAAGCATATCTGGTTTCCGTGTTCCGCTTCCCAACGCCATGTGGCCTCGGACTTTGCACGCTGAGTTCAGCAGATAACATGTTAAATCAATGACCCACCAGATAGCATGTGCGCGCCTGGTGTTTATTCTACCCCAGAGTGTCCATCTGGAGCATGAGATAACATAGTTATACTCCCTCCAGCCACATTAGCGGTGTCAGGTGAGGAGAGGCAAAGCCCAGTTACAGATCACGTCCCCAGGCTGATGTTGCCGTCTTTCCTGTTGCAAGCACATGTCAGCATTCCTGTTTCATATCTTTCTACATATCTGCAGTGAACAAGCTCCCTCGTAAATATGGGCTGCTTACTGAAACTGAGCCCCCCCCCCGTCATAGCTCAATCTGCATTTCCACATTTAGAAATATAAAAGTGATACATCACCGAGCCCTGATTCCTGTGTAGGGATTGCTGGTCAGTTCTGAAATGACACCGCCCTGGACCTTCCTGGAAAACACCTTTCTGCTCAGGCATGGTGGCACTCTGGGCGGCTGAAGCAGGAGGATTGCGAATTTGTACTCAGCCAGGGCAATTTAACAATTTAGTGAGATCTCGTCTCAAAATAAAAAGCGAAATGGATGGGGCTGGGGATTTAGCTCAGTGGTGCCACCGCCTGCTGCGCAAGGTCCTGAGTTCGATCCCCAGTACCAAATAAAAGAGAAAGAAAGAAAGAAAGAAAGAAAGAAAGAAAGAAAGAAAGAAAGAAAGAAAGAAAGAAAGAAAGAAAGGAAGGAGGGAGGGAAGGAAGGAAGAAAGAAAGGAAGAAAGAAAGAAAGTGAAAAAATGAAATGGAATGGGGATATATCTCAGTGCAAGGGCCCTTGCTTTAAATTCTCAGTACCACAAAGAAAAAAGACCTTTGCAAAGGAAGAAATTTCCCAAAGTGGGTCTATATGAATGAGGAGGACCAATATTTAGAGTTCCTCAAGACGTACTGGCTCATCCTTTTATATACATCTGTATTTCCATTAAAGGGACTATTGGAGCTGAGTTATTTCTCCTATAAAATGAGAGTTAGATTTCTTTAACTTGGCCTGACTCTGGGTCTTTCTGTCTTTGGCCTTTGGAAGAGCTGCACTCTGGCAGAAGAGTCTTCTGCTAACTTGTGGTTGTTCCCTTGTTTGCAGTGTTGGAGGCCCACATGGGCCACCCAGGCACTGCTGGAACTCAGTGCTGGACCAAAGGCAATGGTGGTGTTTTGACAGCAGATGGAGGGAGGTTTGCATTTATTTGAGTCTTGCCTCTGCCACTGTTGGCAGTTTGCTTTGGAGAAAGCCATTTAACCTCTCTGCCTCCCCATTTCCCTTGTGAAAAATGGAGACTGTGATAACACATAGCTCTCAGGGTTGCTCCAGAATTTTAGTGAATGGGCATTGTAAGCTGGGTCCTGGGCTCAATCCCCAGTACCAAAGAAAGAGCGGGGAGAGAAACGTATGGCAAAGTCTATCTACATTGCTATATAAATGCCCATTTAAAAAAGTTACATCACCAGAGTCTGGTGTGCAAATGACACGCGTTCATTTCACATCCACACTTGGGGCTTACACTCACCTCATTCCTGTGAGGTGCAGGGCACAGAAAGTTAAGAGAGACTGACCGTGCCTTCAGGGAGTATTTGATGGAGAAGTAAGCCAGATATCAAATGGGCTTAATTATGCTTGCTTTATGAGTCTGGAAAAGTAGCTTATCTTCTGTAAGTTTCGGTTTCCTTACAGAACCAATGTAGCAACAGCTACTTTTCAAGGACAAATGGGATAAGACACATACGGCATTGAGCCCAATACTTGTCGTATGTAGCTCGGCAAATTATGCTTTTCCATTATCAAATCTGACAAGTATCATGAGGGTCCAAGTTAATAACCAAGAACTGTTATATCTGGGTAGAAAAAAAAATCTGGAAAGGCTTCAGAGAAGGTTTAGAATTTGACCACAGGCCTGATGGATAAACAGATTTGTGCATTCAAAGACAATCATAGTGGGGCTGGGGATTTAGCTCAGAGATTCCACTGCTTGATTCAAAAAAAAAAAAAAAAAAAAAAAAAAAAAAAGACCATTGTATCATAGTCACACTGTGCCCTGAGTTGGTCAAAGAGGCTTGGGGACAGAGTGACACCAAGAAGCATGACCAGAGAAGAGATGATAAATGGAAAACCTGTGTGCCTACTCTCAACACATTGCCTTCTTCTCCCAAGAGGTAGTCATATAAAGAGGAGAAAGAGACATAACTAGAAAAAAGCCTCATGCAACAGAAAAAGTTTAGCACAAAAGGGCCAAAGAGACAGAGTCACGAGAGAAATAAGGAAATAATAAACACCTTCAGTCTTTAACACATAAACAACACAAACAGTCCACATTTTCTGGGGCTGGGAGTGTAGCTGAGTGGTAGAGCACTTGCCTCGCATGTATGAAACCCTGGGTTCTCTTTCACCAGCATTGCAAACAAAGAAACGAAACCTTAAGGACCAACATCTAGTTTGAGATCTGCTCTCCTCTCAAACTCTGAGACCCAGTTTTATTGGGCCCAAAGCATCAGACTTTTTCCTCCAAGGAATCGTGATGTCTTCACAGGGCCCAGTATGGTTAGCATGTAGAGTCAGGCTGCTTCTCCTGAAGAATTTAATCAGAGACAATGATGGTTATTCAATGGTAATATATTATACTGCCTTAGTGTAAGCCCTGGGCCTGTCATTTTTTTTATTTATTTATTTATTTATTTATTTATTTATTTATTTATTTTCCAGTATGGGGATTGAACTCAAGACCTTGCACTTGCAAGGCAGGCATGGTGCCACTGAGCTACATCCCCAGCATCCTGCAATTTTATTAACAGGCCAGGTTCACTAAGGCATATGGGTGCCTCATCACAGGGTCTCCCCTCCCTATATAGAAACAGAATTGCTGAAATATAGTCAGCAAGAACTATTCTACCATTCAACCACAAAATAATCTATCATTTGGCAAAATATTTAGGACTTTTAAGTAACTTCTTTGCATATTCATGTCTGTTTCTTATAATTATCATCTCAGGAAAGGAAACCCAATGTTTGATTAATAATCCAGGCAGCTCTTTTTGCCAAGGAGACCCACAGAACTGCTAGGAACTTCTTTTATTTAAAGAAAGTTCTGCTTTATAAAATAAAATTACTGGGCCAGGGATTTGGCTCAGTGGTACTACCGCCTGCCTTGTAAGCACAAGATCCTGAGTTTGATACATGGTACAAAAAAAAAAAAATCAATAAAATAAAATTACTGACAGAGTTACCTTTTCATAATTTTGTCACCTTTGCCCCATTAAAATTGGTAAACAATCCGGGTGTGGTGGTGCAAACCTGTAAACCCAGTACTTGGGAGGCTGAGGCAGGAGGATCACTGGGCTATATAGTGAGTTCAAGACAATCCTGAACTACATAGCGAGTCTCTGTCCCGAAAAACAAAAAACAAAACAAGATAAAAAAAATTGGTAAGCAACATCAATGAGCATACACTAAATAG